TCACGAACTAACACCTTGAATGCTTCCGGATTCCCAAGGGACATCTTCCCTTTAAACAAGATGGCCTCTACCACCTGTTCCCGGCCGACAACATCGTCAGATTTGCTTGTAAGCATCTCCTGCAGGATGTAAGCTGCGCCAAACCCTTCTAGTGCCCAGACCTCCATTTCACCGAGCCGTTGACCGCCATGTTTCGACCGCCCGCCTAATGGCTGCTTCGTTACCAATGAGTATGGACCGGTAGATCGAGCATGTATCTTTTCATCTACCAGATGGACAAGTTTAAGCATATATGCATATCCCACTGTCACCCATTGGTCAAACAGTCGCCCAGTTCGACCATCCAGAAGAGCCGTTTTGCCAGGAAACCGGGGATTGAACAACCAATCCTGATTTGTTCGCAATCGAGCTTGGTAGAGCTTCAAGTAAACTAAACTTCGGGAAGCTTCTGCTCCATAAATCTCATCGAATGGTGTTATTTTGAATTGCTGGCCGAGTTGAGCGCCGGCTAAACCGAGAAGGCATTCAAACACTTGCCCCACATTCATCCGGGATGGTATCCCTAAGGGGTTGAGCACCATATCAACTATCGACCCATCTGGGAGATAAGGCATGTCCTGACGTGGCAACACCGTAGAAACAATTCCCTTGTTACCATGCCGCCCAGCTACTTTATCCCCAACCTGGAGCTTCCTCTTCTCTGCTAAATAGATGCGGACCCGCCCCGGGCTTTGAGTTGGGGGTTCGTGGGCCACCACTTCGCTGGCCAGGGGTGGCCATCGAACCCCCGGCCGTGTATCCCTTCGGGATGCAAGAGGGGACAGGGGATGGGGGAGGGTACCTCCCCCAACCCCGAGCCCCGCAACGGTGATACTCGGCATCTCGAAAGACTGACAGTTTATAACTCTTCCCTCAACTCCTTTCGGCACACGAAGGGATGTGTCTTCTGTTGTTGCTGCTTCAACATTAGCAATATCATAAGCAAGACGCTCATATGGCGACAGGGGTTGAGAACTTTTTGGGCTCACCTTCCCAACGAGAATGTCTCCCTCTTTTACCCAACTTCCAATTTTGGCAATTCCTCGCCAATCCAGGTGTTCTTTCTCTCCGTCTGATATGCCTGGGAGTTGAGGCGTTATCTTTTCAACACCAAATCGTGTCTCTCGTACTTCAATGTCGTACTTTTGCACATGAATTGATGTATAGACATCGTCCGAAACTAACCGCTCACTTATTACTACTGCATCCTCAAAGTTGTAGCCTTCCCAGGGCAAATATGCAATGAGAATGTTTTTACCAAGGGCAAGTTCACCAAACTTGCTAGCCGAACAATCTGCTAAGAGATCTCCCTTCTGCACCCAATCGCCTTCCGAAACCGCAGAGGTTTGGGTTAAACATGTTTCTTGGTTAGAGCGCTCATAGCTCTGCAAGTGGTAGTTGAGGGAGAATACACCTGCTTGCCAATCACCTGTTGAATGTGGAACCTGTTGTTTTATGGGTCGGCCGGACGTGTTCAACCAGTCCTGTTTTGCAATCGGCGCAAACCAAGATAGCTTGGCCTCTAAACCGCTCTCTATCTTGTTAATCTCTACTGAAGGAAGGTTTCCCTTGCCCCATTTCTTCTCCTCCCTCGTTAGGATGGATAAGGGAGATGGGAATGGCCCCCCACACACCAGTTCCCGGCCAACGAACTCCCTTGGGAGATTTGCGTGAGTTGATACCCTCGCATTCGAGCCATACTTAAGATAAGACATCTTTCGTGCTCGAAGTTGGCTAAAGATCACTGCTGAAGCGGACAGCCGGACGGCTGGGCTGGCTTTCTCACGCTTTGATTGGGGGCAGGGGCGTGGGGGAGTTGCTGCGCATGGGTTGGGGGAGGGGACTTCCCCCATCCCCTGCCCCCAAGACCTCCCCCAACCACAGTCCACAAATTTGTCATTAGACGATACAACGGGGGCACGCGCTCCGGCAACAGCGAGATAATCGTTTGTCAACGCTGTATCGGTCTGCATGCTCGGCAGATAGCTATGAACGACCACCTCCTCCCCAGTTACCGCGGAGATATATCCACTCAGGTCAGCTTGCAGGGCATGCCCTGATTCGGCAACAACCAGTGCTTCTAGCCCTGTCCCCACGAAGGGGCGTTCTGGTTGAATAAGTGGAACTGCTTGCCGCTGCATATTTGAGCCCATGAGAGCACGGTTTGCGTCGTCGTGCTCTAGAAAAGGGATCAGGGCTGTTGCCACAGAAATCATTTGAATCGGCGATATTGCCATATAATTTACGGCCCCTCGATTCGCGTGCCTAAAGTCCTCTTGTCGATTGCCAGTTTCACGCACAGGGAAGAGCGTTGGAGGGAGGAGTTTACAGGTTGAAAGATGAATGTCACCTGGGGCCACTCTAAATTCCCCATTCTCTTCCCCGCCGGCTGAAAAGTATTGGAACCCCATTCCTGCCTGAACTTGACCCTGTAAAACATGATAATAGGGCGTTTCTAAGATTCCACCATCCCCAACTCGTGTGTATGTGGTTAAGGAATTGACAAGGCCCGCGTTCTTCCCCTCTGGTGTTTCAATGGGGCAAATCCGCCCGTAATGGGTAGGATGGATACCTCGGACAGCCATTCCTGCCGTTTCGCGGCTTATCCCACCTGGGCCGAGTGAACTGATTCGACGTTTCTGGGTAATCTCTGCCAATGGATTGGTTTGGTCCATGTATTGAGACAATGGGCTTGAACCAAAGAATTCTCGTAGTGCTGCATTCAACGGTTTCGTATTCAGCAGAGTTCTTGCGGATACTTCCTTAGGTGGCTTCCGCATCTTGCTAAGTATAGCTTTCTCCAATCTGTAAAGTCCCGTTTCAAATTGGCTCTGCAGCAGTTCCCCCGATGGCCGAACTCGTCGGTTTTTTAGATGATCGATATCATCGACAAGGATGCGATCATTTTGCAATTCTTGGATCTGTTCAAATGCGGCATAGAGATCTTGGCTTGTAAGCTGTTGGCTGGCAACTGCTAAGCCAAATCGTCGGTTGAGCCTTTTTCGCCCAACCCGACTAAGGTCATATGTCCTCGGGTTCTTGAATTTTTGAACAATGAATTGTTGTCCATTCTCCGGCGAAAGGTCTTTCTTTGTAGGATTTACCTCCTCGTGAAGCTCTAGCAGAGCTTCTCTGTCCGCTATGGTCCACTCTTTTTGATTTCGTTCACAGATTGCCATTCCCTCATAGAAGAGAGCAAACGGCACTTTAGGCGTCTTCTTTAATCGAGCCCAGATATCTCCCTCCTTGTCCGCTTGGATCCTCAGCCATGCACCGCGGCGCGAAACAAAATCCGCATACACAATCCGTCTTTTCCTCTTCCCAAAACCCCATGTCCGTTCGTGGAAGTAGACGCCTGGAGAGCGAAGTAGTTGATTTATCACTACACGCGGTGAACCATTGATAATGAAGTGTCCACGCTTTGTCATCAGTGGAAGATTGCCGACTAAGACCCAAGATAGAGTTGTTTCCCCTCGCTTTAACAGTGAGTTTTCTCTGCTTTCTTTTTTATCCGGCCCCCTCCACGGCCGAGGACTCGTTGGGGTGGAGAAGGGGCCCCATAGTTCTTGGCCATCAAGCGGTCGAACCTGTCCGGCGGAACGCCAGACCCTTTTGAAGTCTGTGAGGCCTCCCACCGCAAGGTCGAGATTACGACGGGCGAATTGCCCCACCCGAGGCACTATAGTGACCGGTTGCCCGGGTTGACCGATTGGCGGTTTAATGAGCTGGCTTATTTGCCCTAGAGTGGCTGCCTTCCCTATTCTTGAATTTTTAGCCAGATTTGTCCGTTCTGTTAAGCTAGGGGTAAGATACTCGTCGACTTTTCCAAGTTTAATTAACTCGTCACTGCCCTTCAAGCTCACGCCATTATGTGGCTGGGTATTGTTTGCATTGTATTGCGAGTTTTTCCATAAAGGCCCACCTGGGGTGCTGGCTTTTGTCAGAGGCTGTTCTTCAAGTGCTTTATATGAGCCCAAAGGTTGGGATGGCACATTAGCTTTGTTTCGATTTATTCTTCCGGCCCGATCCCCAGAAAAAAGCTTCGCCGGCAAATACAATTTGCAGCTATAAGTTTTGCCTTGCAAAACTGCCTCCGTGACAGTATATTCGGGCGCGATTATCAGGTAGCTCTCGGGATAGAAGGTCAATTCGAATTTCGATATCTCGCTTCGAATCGGATTTATTTTGGAGAATTCTTCTACGATGCCTTTCTCCAAAAATCGTGAGAAACTTCGTCGCTGAATCTCAACAAAATCAGGAACAAGGAAAGATGCTTTATAATTTATTGCAGTCATGATGATTTTCAAACCTCTGATATTCCTGCCTCCTTCTCAACGGTGAGGTCTGGCTGGCGAAGGGATAGGATAGGGGCCTTGGCTTCATAGAGGCCTACCAAGCCTCCCAGGGGTTCAGCGTTTCACTGAACGGGTTCGTTGGCCACCGGTTCGACTAGGTTAGAGGCTTTTACAGCCGAACACCTGTGAGGCCAGGCCGTCGAGGGTGGGGGAGGAGCCCTCCCCCAACCTATGCAAAGCAACTCCCCCAATCGATGCAAAGCACCTCTTTCAATCGATGCAAAGCACCTCTCCCAACTCTGTCGAACGAGTTCCCCCTTCCGTTGAACTGGTAGCTACCGCGTCATTGTGCAGTCCCACATCGAAGCAGCTCATATGATCCATCTGCAATTTCTGTTTATTTAAATATAGCCCATTCTGGGAATGGGCTATTTTCTGTCCAGGTTGCTGCAAGAGGTCTTACCAATCCTCCTCCCCTTTTTTTATCCTCAATGGTGGGTTTACCACAATGTATTAGTTTGACTGTCTCCCGTTCTTTTAGCAGGAGAGGCCGTTTATTTCTCGTTAATGTTTTCTTAAGTAGACAAAGGTTGTCAAGTAGACGGCAATTGTGGTACTATTAAATGAAGGAATGGCAATAAATTCCGGCTATAATTGTGCGTTTTGGGTGGCGTAGCCAAGTGGTAAGGCAGAGGATTGCAAATCCTCCACTCCCCAGTTCGAATCTGGGTGCCACCTGTCATTATTATTAACTCTTAAGAGGTAACATTCCTTTGATAAGTCATTTGCTGTACATGTTAGGTTTCTCATTTTCACTGAACAAATCGCTCCACAATCCCAATTCTCATAGAGGGGGGGGTCCTTGTTAAAATCAATTGTTGGAAATGAGAAATGCCTACTCTCGCCATGATTCGGGCCGGTCTATTAGGCTTTTCAGCCCTACGAGAGGGGAATTACTGTACAGGCGGAATCAATTCCATTAGGGGACCACTATGGGATTAGGGTCTTTGTGATCTCTTTTTCTGCACAACAGTCCCTAGCTTGCATATAACATATCCCTACCTATTGTCACTAAACCCATTTACTCAACTCCCGGTCAACAGAATACCGACCCGTCCGACTGAATGTTGAACAGCTCTGGGGCCTTGTGTGGTCTCCATTTTGCCATATTGCTGGTCTAGGGCTGAGTTATGGAACATGGCAAATCCATCGTTAATCACAATTCTATTACAGTAAGAAAGAAGCAGAGACAAGGTTAATAACTTTGCTAAGCAATTTCTTGGGTAGCTTCTATAGGGCCCCGCGCAACTTCACAACTTCAGTTATAGCGGTCAGGGTTTTTGAAGGCGTTATTACAGGTGTTCGGCTAGGCCATTGAGAGGACGCATAGGTCCCACAACCCGCTCAGTGAGTTAGGTTGCAGTTGCTTTTATAGGGGTTCTTACCCCAAGCACCATAGTTGAATCCGTGTAAGGCCTTGGATGGCCAAGCCTGGTAGGTGTTCAGCTGTAGGAGCCCCTGCCCCTAACCCACTCGGACGAGCGGCCTTTGAGCCTCGGACTAACTGAGTATAAGGATCCCCCGCCCGTCCGACTGAGTTGGTTGCAGTTGCTTTGCATCGGTTGGGGGAGTTGAGTTGCTTTGTATGAGGCCTCACCCCCAAGGCTCTTACAGACGAACACCTGCGAGGTCGTGTGAAGCCTATAAAGCCAAGCGAATGAGGAGTGACTACTTGGGTTTAATGTTTGCTACATTCTCAGCCGCCTTTAAAAGGGATTCCTAGTAGGAAAATTTGTTTCGTATAAAGGTTTTATGACTAATACCATCTCTTGCGCCTTCTCCTAATGGGCACGGTTGGATGGTATTTTATTGATGTTTAAGTTAGCTGGAAAGCCCCGGAGATCAGGCTTTGCTGTTGTTCATTGGGAAAATTGGGCAATCCGTCCGACGCATTAGGGGCAGGGGGCCCTTCAGCCGAACACCTGTGAGGCTTGTGTCTGTGAAGACTATTTTTGCTACAATATTTTTCCCAACTAATTTTTGCTCGTCTAAAGCTTGTGGGGCTCACAATCCTGGCTACTTAAAGCTTCAGTGATGCTGCTACTTTACAGTCCTGACATGGTTCTGAAACAGAAGTTACAGGGTTGTGAGCTTGTAAAATATGATATCAACTTATGGGCAAAAGATCAACTTTTCTCCAGCAACTAAAGGGAAGAGCAAGTTTCAAGCCCGTAGTGTAGGGCTCCTGCCCCCTCTTGCATCCCATGCACCCCTAAAGGGGTGCATGGGATGCACGGCCGGGGGTTCGATGGCCACCCCTGGCCAGCGAAGGGGTGGCCATCGAACCCCCATCCCATCGAACCCCCACCCCAACGAGCCATATCACATCATCACCCCCATAGGCTTGTGAGGCCTTACCACTTCTATCGCTAGATTACAAAGAAAAGGGGTTAAGATTTTTGGATTTGTGCTATAATTTAAGACAATAGAAAAAGAAAGAAAGTAAATCCATTCTGTTGTTAAAGAAATTTCTTTATGGGATTACCTTGGTATCGTGTCCACACAGTTGTTTTAAATGACCCGGGCCGATTGATCGCTGTCCACTTGATGCACACTTCACTTGTATCAGGATGGGCCGGATCAATGGCTTTCTACGAATTGGCAGTTTTTGACCCTTCTGACCCTGTGCTAAATCCTATGTGGCGTCAAGGGATGTTTGTTCTCCCATTTATGACCCGTTTAGGAATTACACAGTCGTGGGGCAACTGGACAATTAGTGGTGAAACGGCAACAAGTCCGGGCATCTGGACCTACGAAGGGGTAGCCACTGCCCACATCTTGCTATCAGGTGCACTGTTCATGGCATCGATTTGGCACTGGGTTTATTGGGACCTGGAGCTCTTCCGCGATCCGCGCACAGGTGACCCTGCCCTAGATCTTCCAAAGATTTTTGGAATCCACCTATTCCTTTCAGGTCTTCTCTGCTTTGGCTTTGGTGCTTTTCATGTAACAGGGCTCTTCGGACCTGGCATCTGGGTTTCTGACCCATACGGCATCACTGGAAGTGTACAACCTGTTTCACCTGCTTGGGGAGCAGATGGATTTGACCCATACAACCCTGGAGGTATCGCCAGCCATCACATGGCTGCAGGCATCCTCGGTGTTCTAGCGGGCCTTTTCCACCTCTGTGTGCGTCCTTCTCAGCGTCTTTATAACGGATTGCGAATGGGCAACATTGAAACAGTTCTATCGAGCAGCATAGCAGCAGTTTTCTGGGCAGCCTTTGTGGTAGCTGGAACAATGTGGTATGGATCAGCTGCTACACCTATTGAATTGTACGGACCAACTCGTTATCAGTGGGACTTAGGGTTCTTCCAACAGGAGATCGAGCGACGTGTTCAGGGAAGCTTGGCTGAGGGCAAGAGTGCTTCTCAAGCCTGGTCAGAAATACCCGAGAAATTGGCTTTCTATGATTATATTGGCAACAACCCAGCGAAAGGGGGCTTATTCCGTGCTGGGGCAATGAATAGTGGTGATGGAATCGCTGTGGGCTGGTTAGGACACGCGGTGTTTAAAGACAAGGATAGTAATGAGCTGTTTGTTCGACGCATGCCTACTTTCTTTGAAACCTTCCCCGTTCTATTGATTGACAAAGATGGAGTTGTGCGGGCCGATGTACCATTCCGTCGAGCTGAATCGAAATACAGCATTGAGCAGGTTGGTGTATCTGTGACATTCTATGGTGGAGAACTAAACGGTGTTACCTTTACCGATCCGGCAACTGTTAAGAAGTATGCACGCCGAGCTCAGCTAGGTGAGGTCTTTGAATTTGACCGCGCAACCCTTCAATCGGATGGTGTATTCCGTAGTAGCCCTCGAGGTTGGTTCACCTTTGGTCATTTATGCTTTGCCCTTCTCTTCTTCTTCGGTCATATCTGGCATGGCGCAAGAACAATCTTCCGTGATGTATTTGCAGGGATTGACAGTGACATAGATGACCAAGTTGAATTTGGGGCATTCCAGAAACTTGGTGACCCTTCTACTCGTCGACAATCTGTGTAAAACCTCGCAACTGTCATCCGACGGGTTGGTGATTGCATTGCATAGCAATGCACGGGAATGAGGCAAGCCTTATAGGCCTAGACCGGATAGATCTAGGCCTATAAGATACTTAGCGTTCCGCTAAACGGGTTTATCATTTTGCTGAACGGATAGCCTTCAAAACCCGTTCAGCGAAACATCGAACCCCTTGTGAGGCCAACCCCTTAGAGCCCCATTAGTAGGAATTGTGGGGTTGACCGATTGAGATATAGACAATCTTTTATATGGAAGCTTTAGTTTACACATTTTTATTAGTTGGTACCTTAGGCATCATCTTCTTTGCGATATTCTTTAGAGAGCCACCACGCATTGTTAAATAAGGCAGTTGCTGAGCGCTGAGCTGGATCAGAGAAGTTTAAAAACAGAAAAAGCGTAGCCTGTCAAGGCAAAGCATTTGCAGTTGCTTCACACGGTTGGGGGAGGGAACCTCCCCCACGCCCTCGCCCCCAAAGCCATAGAAGCCTGCCCCTTGTTGGCCGGAGGCTCGATGGGATGGGGCAGTTGCTTTGCATCGGTTGGGGTAGGAGTCTCTACTCGCAGTCCTTTCGATGGCCTGGACTCACAGGTGTTCAGCTGTCGGGGCGTTGAGGGTGTTGCTTTGCATGGGGCCATGGGGGCATGCAAAGCAACTGTCCCTAACCCAGTTAGACGGATTCGGTGGTTCGCTGAACGATTGGCCAACAAACCCTAATAGATAGAACAGGGGATTTAAGGGAAAGAAAACTGTACCCGTTGTTTGATAGCTCTTTAATCCTCATGCTCTTCGAAGGGGTCGCGAAGTTGCTTAGAAGGTGGGCCGAACCCCACGTAAATTGAGTACCCAGTAATACTTAAAAGAAGACACCATAGAAAAATGGTGTAAAAAAAAGCAGGACTTTCCATAATCAGGTTGGAATGATAAACTTGGCCTTTGTGTTAGTGGTCTCGATAAGAGGCACGATAAGAATGGTTGATAAGAAATCACAATAATTGTGTCTCTTAATTATAATGCTTCAGTATTATTATAAGAGATATGCGACTTATAAGCTATGGGGCTACTGCGCCTTCGATAGCTACGCCAGGGAAGCCTATGTCCCAACTCGCCGGATGAGGGGTAACTCGAGTTTCCACTGAGCTGTCCGGGGCTAAAACAGCAATTGGTTATGGCTCTATTAAACACTCTGGCAACGGCGCAGCCCTGTACTAACGCGTCTGTTTTGGCATGTGTGCCAAAGTAGTAAAGGTGTTCCATAAGGAAGTACGGTAAGCCGAAGCCACCCACTCAGGCCTCCTAATTAGAATGACAGAAAGTAAAGAGATATACGCATAGGAAACATTATGGCAACAGGAACGACTTCAAAAACCAGCAAAGATCTAACTAGCAGCAAAGTTACAGCATTAGGCACTTTGCTTAAGCCACTCAATTCGGAATACGGTAAGGTAGCTCCGGGTTGGGGGACAACCGTGATTATGGGAGTATTCATGGCTCTTTTTGCGGTTTTTCTAGTGATCATTCTAGAAATCTACAACAGCTCTGTTCTATTGGATGAAATTAATCCAATTTTCTAAGCCAAGGAGGCAAGTAGCGAGTAGCAGGTGCGCAGCTTTTACCCCCCAACGGCCCCTTCCCCATCCCATTGAGCCCTTGGCCAACGAGAGGAAAGGGGCCGTTAGGGGGTAAAAGCTCCCATGCAAAGCAAACTACTCGTTCGAGGAACCCCGACCATCTGTAAGGCCAGGCTAAGGCGGTGGTACTCCCTGCATAAAATGCCTTTTATACCTGACTCGGGTCACTTTCCTTTTGTTGGCCTACTGGGCCGGGGGTTCGTTCGCTACCCGTCCGACTGGGTTGGGGGCAGGGGCGTGGGGTTCGATGGCCTTGCATCCCTTCAAGATGCAAGGCCGTGCATTCCGAAGGGATGCAAGAGGGGGGAGGTCTTGGGGGCAGGGGCCCCCATGCGCAGCAACTCCCCCAACCACAACCATAGCCGTACACCTGTGAGTCCTGTGAGGCATTGCTTTTAATTTGAAAACGAGTATAATCAATGTCATATTTGAGACAAGGGCTTGTAGCTCAGTGGACTAGAGCACGTGGCTACGAACCACGGAGTCGGGGGTTCAAATCCCTCCTAGCCCGTTGTCATCAACAACCAGTAAAAGTTTGCCCTGGTTGTGTTCGCTCTCATATAGACTTCATTTAAGGCTGTGCATCCCATGCACCCCTTTAGGGGTACAAGGGATGAAAGGGCGGTTAAACAAGTTTCTGCTTGACCATTTGCTAGTTTCTACTCCGCTGCAGCAACTTAAAGGGCCTGGCTTGGTAGGCTTGCGAAGGGAAGTCAGTATTGTAGGGAAAGACGCACCACCCTATAGCTGTGTCTCAAAACGAACTCGTCAGGTTGTCCACTCGCCTTTGATTGGCGAGGAGGGCGGTTTATCTTTCATCAAATCAAACCAACATTATGAATTTATCTGCTGAACCCAAGTCTATAACACGGACCATTGTTGTAACTTCAGGTAAGGGAGGGGTTGGAAAGACAACTGCCACTGCGAATTTAGGTATGTCAATAGCGCGATTGGGGCACAGGGTAGCATTAATCGATGCAGACATAGGACTAAGGAACCTTGATTTGTTACTAGGGCTGGAGAACCGAATCCTGTACACAGCGATGGACATTTTAGAGGGTCAGTGTCGGTTAGACCAAGCACTTATCCGCGATAAACGATGGAAAAACCTTTCGTTGCTCTCCATTTCTAAAAACAGGCAGCGGTACAATGTCACACGCAAAAACATGGAAAACCTGGTGGCCTCAATTAGTGCCCTGGGATATGATTTTGTATTGATTGATTGTCCTGCGGGCATCGATGTAGGGTTTGTGAACGCGATCTCTCCAGCTCAAGAAGCTCTAATAGTGACAACACCAGAAATCACCGCCATACGCGATGCCGATAGGGTAGCAGGGTTACTGGAGGCAAACAGCATTTACAACACGAAACTGCTGGTAAACCGTGTTCGAACAGACATGATTCAAAGGAATGATATGATGTCAGTTCGCGACGTCCAGGAAATGCTTGGCATTCCGCTTCTAGGGGCAATTCCAGAAGACACCCACGTTATCATCTCTACGAACCGGGGTGAGCCCCTCGTCTTGAAGAAGAAGCTGACCCTTTCAGGAATAGCGTTTGAGAACGCTGCTCGACGGCTGATAGGTAAGCAAGACTACTTCATCGATTTGAATTCGCCATACAAAGGTCTCTTTCAAAAATTTCAAGACATAGTTTTTGGAACATAGCATACACGATAATGATTAGAAGAATCGGTTGTCGCTAAGCTTATATTTCTAAATTCTACCCGAAGCGAGAGGCGATAATTTATGGGAATCGATATAAAAACGGTAAGTGGGGCATGGCTGGCCTTGCATCCCATGCACCCCTTTAGGGGTGCAAGGGATGCAAGGCGTGGGGCTTAGATTGTTTGCGCAGTTTGGGCTTCACCCCTTACTGGTCATGCCTCGCAGGCTTCACAAAAAGAGGCGTGCCAACCCAATGTCCTAGAACTCTGGTACCTAGTTAGTGTCTTCTTTTTAATACTACTGGGCTGAAATTAAGAGGTGTTAGTTGATTTCTCTCTTTCGAGAGAATGATTCTTCTCTTTCGAGAGAAGTTTCCGTTTATAACCACTTTCTTCACTGTTGAGGGGGTTAAGTCGCTTGATAATGCGCGGGCTAAGGAGCCGAAGTCTATTTTTCTAAAGTTCGCATCTTTGGACGATAAAAGAAGTATAACTTCGTTTCTTATGGGAATGGAGGGAATTGAACCCTCACGACCGTTTAGGGTCAACGGATTTTAAGTCCGTAGCGTCTACCAATTCCGCCACACTCCCAATTCACTACAGATAATACCATAAGATAGGCGTTTTTGCCAGTTGTCTTTTCAACTGGTATATGTTATCCTTAAGACAAAAGTGGGATTTAGAGATAAACAATTTGCTGTTTCAGATCACCTAAGATAAGGCTTTAGTTTTCACGGGCCTGTTCAGCACGGTTCTTAAAACAAGTGTTACCCTTTGGTTAGAAAATTTCTCAATGTTGTAGTTGTTGGGTCGATGCCCGAGTGGTTTATGGGGGCGGATTGTAAATCCGCTGATGAAAGTCAACGCTGGTTCAAATCCAGCTCGGCCCAAATAAGCGGTGTAAGTCATGATGACCCCGCGGCGCCTAGCGGGGTCGGGAGCAATGCCCGGTGAAAAGATCACCGGGAAGTAGGAGCGATTGATAAGTCAACTAAATTAATTTAATCTTCAATAATCCCAAATACATCACTGTAGCAGATACGAGGAAGGCGGTAAGGATACCAATGTAGCTAATAATAGTAATCATAAGGTAATCTAGACTTGTTGTACCGTTCAGTTTCTCGAGGGGGACTCGATGGCCGCCCTTGCATCCCTTGCACCCCTAAAGGGGTGCAAGGGATGCAAGGGCGGCCATCGAGGAGAAATTAGAGAGCCAACGGGATCTTGTGGGTGGTGATGTTACGAAAGTTTCGGCCCCACAAAGGTTGGCGCTGTGCCAGATGAAGAAAGGTCTTTCAGCGAGTTGGGGCGCAGGTTTCACAGGTGTGGGGGGGAACCCCCCCCAAGGCCAGGTCAATGGGGGGACGTGTTAGTTGGTTGATTCCAACTACCCGTTTAGTGAAACGCCGAACACCTTGAGGCCGGCCTTGGCCAGGGGTTCGTTGGCCATCTGTTCAGGGTTTCCCTAAACACCTGTGAAGCCAGGCCATCGAGGGGGTGGCCTGCGAGCCCCGGCGGCTCGGTGATTGTTTACTCAACCGTTTCCGTGCTAGGCCAGGCTAGCCGGAGTTCTTAAAAAGAGCTAGTAACTCTATCCCCACGACGATATTGTAGATACGCAGTGACAAACAATCCTGCGAGTGTTACTGGAACTAGTCCTAATACAATTCCGGACAAAAGAGGCTCAACCATAAGATGAATAGGAAAACAGTGACAAGATTTTAGTGTATAGAAGCGAAGCTTAAAGAGTTGTGCGTTCTATCTATATAATACTCGATCCTTCTAAAGCTTAGCCCAAATGCGCTCTAAGAACAAGTCTGAAACAACTTAGCGTAAAGAGACGAGGTCCCTCAATAACAAACTAGTCCGCACCCTTATACAAGGTACGTATAGACTAAGGACATCACGGCATCCTTTGTCGCAGAATTGGACAAGCCTAGAGTATGTAGATTGTTACTGATCAGCACGCATCATCCCTTGGAAGGTAGATTCAGGCATTGATTTTCGGATAGAGAAGGAGTCGAACCATTCAGCGAAACACCAAACCCGTTCGACTGGCTTGGGGGGGGGGGGGGCGGGGGGGAGGGAACCTCCCCCAACCACAGCCAAACACCTGTGAGGCCTGTGAGGCCTGTGAGGCCTCGGTCGCTTGGTATCACATAGACTTTCGAAGTCTACACTTTAAACCGCTCAGACACCTACCCGCATCATGAATTGTCTCTGCCACTTCTGCCGCTCTCGCTAAGAAATGGATTTTCCACTAAAGAAAAACTGTCAAACTCACAGATGTGCCCCCACATTAACACATTCTTGCGAGCTAATTCACTTTCTCGTTAGGGCAAGGAGAGAATTGAACCCTCGACCCCGCGCTTCGGAGACGCGTGCTCTAGTCCACTGAGCTACATGCCCATGTAATCATATTAGTGAGATCTCCCGTTATCGACAAGCGACTGTTTACCCGCCTCAGCCCCCATGGAATTCCTTGATGGACAGGGGCTCGTTGGGATGGGGAAGGGGCCCCAGAGCCCCCTCGTTGGCCCGCCCCTTCCAGGTGTTCGGCGTTTTACTGAACGGGTTGTGGGGGCCGTGGGGTTCGTAGGCCACCCGTGCATCCCATGCACCCCTTTAGGGGTGCAAGGGGTGCAAGGCCATCGAGGGGGGAGGTCTTGGGGCAGGGGATGGGGGAGTTGCTGCCCCCAAGACCTCCCCCAACCCATGCAAAGCAACTGCCCCCGGCCGTGCATCTCATGCATCCCATGCATCCCTTGCATCCCATGCATCCCTTGCATCCCATGCATCCCATGCATCCCATGCACCCCGAAGGGATGCATGGGATGCATGGGATGCACGGCCGGAGGTGGCCCACGAACCCCCATCCCCTCGACCCCTACTCCCGCAACCAATTGCTGATCAGCCGAGACTCAGGTGCACATAGGCACATAGGCACAGTCACAGGCCGACGCAAATTTATTCTAATTCAGGAAATGGATAGAAAAACTAACCATTCACAGGACTGCCCAATTGGCACACATAGGTGTGTTGCCTCTCATTTAGTTGCTATGCTATGCACCAGCAGCCTCCTTAGCTGCATACATAACTTCCAGTGTAATAGTAGTAATGTTATTGTCACAGGCAAACTTCTCGGTGTTTCGCTTTATTTTACCCCGGACAAATCCTGGTATCTTTGTTAATTCAGCTAACCCGTCAGGTGCCCAAACAAGGCCTCCTTCCGTTGAAAGCGATTTCGTGATAACTTCTTTAGTGTCATGCCCACCAAAAATCTCTAACAAGTGGTCTTCCATCCCCAATGTAAAGGAATTGTATACCAAGTCAGCAATCTGGTTTGTTCCCTCATACCCCAAGAAAGGTCGATACCCCAACGGGAAATTTTGTATATGGACGGGGGCTGAAATAACCCCACAAGGGATGTCTAATCGCTTGCCTATATGTCGCTCCATTTGGGTCCCAAAGATTGCTGCTGGCTCAATGCGAGCTATCATGTCCCCAACATGCGTGTGATCATCGGTAATCAAAACTTCATCACAAAACCCTTGAACTTGCTCTCTAAACCAATCGGCATCATGCTTGCAATATGTTCCTGCACAAGAGACCCGGATTCCCATTTCTCGTGCCAAGATCTTTGTCATTGATGCCGCGTGCGTTGCATCCCCAAAAACAACTGCCTTCTTCCCTGTTAAGTTCTGGCAATCAATAGATCGTGAAAACCAGGCTGCCTGAGAAACAAAACGGGTTTGTTGCTCAATGTAATCCTCAAAATTGACGACGGTGTTGTTCAAAAAAATCTCGGGCTCGTCTAATGGACTGCCTTGGCCTCCTAAGGGGTCGGTGCTTCGCTGAAGGGATTCAACATCCACCCGTTCAGCGAAAGGCCGAACCTCTGTGAGGCCTGACATGCGAGGGGGGCGAGGTTCCTGCACCTCTGAAATTGGCAACCCGTTCTGAGTCAAAATAGCCTCTATCTCCCTCACAAAGGCCGCGGTGTCGACTACCCCCATAGGGGTTGTCGAGACGAAGGGCATTCCAAGCTCCCTCTCTAAATAATGGGCAGTCATTAATCCAACTTCCCGATATGGAACAATGTTGAACCAAGCTTTTGACAAATTCTTGAGTCTCGTTACCGAGCCGCCCTCTGGGATAACCTCATTGACGTCAATGCCCAGGTCTTGAAGCAGTCTCTTCAACTCCCGCGAGTCATGCTGATTATGAAATCCTAAAGTAAACACACCTATGATATTCGCCGAGGGACGCAACGTACGCTCCCTTGCTAAGTTGTTCTGTTTTTTTGCTTTCTCGACGTAAAACCGAACTACTTGTTCTAAGGTTCGGTCCGCAGCTTGTAGCTCGTTCACTCGATAGTGATTGACATCGGCTAAAAGCACGTCCGACTCCGACTCTAATGCCGCCCTGTCTACAAAATTTTGTAAATCTTCCTGAAGGATGCTGGAAGTACAGGTTGGTGTCAAGATGATGAGATCTGGGCGTTCCTCTTTGTCCTTCCTGGTAATGTTTTCAACTACCTTCTCTTGGGAGCCCCGAGCAAGAACATGTCGGTCTACAATGCTTGCGGTTACCGGTGTAAAATCTCTTTCCCTTTCTAACATAGAGCGCATCACATTGAAGTAATCATCTCCCAACGGTGCATGCATAATCGCATGCACATTTTTAAACGAGCTTGCAACACGAAGCGTCCCAATGTGTGCTGGGCCTGCGTACATCCAATAGGCTAATTTCATGCTAAAACCCCTTCAAACCTGTTACTACTATTGCTCCCAGCTCGTCGAACCCCTGGAGCTCGTTGCTATGGTTTCACCCCGTAGCCACCCGCTATTGGCAAATTACTTTCGCCTGAAGACAGGCGATAGCAGAACACTGGCATATCGGGTTACTTCTCAAGCAACCCTGCTTGAGGTTAACGATCTACATGCAGATCAGGGACTGGGAGGGTGTCTGTGCGTTGCCTGTAAGCAACAAATAGACCCTTAATCAAAGATTAAGGTAAAACATTAATGCTTAACGGGTGAATAACTATAGAACCAAAGTGACACAATTCATAAAATTGAGCGGGGGAAAACAATTTGAAAGTGGTGAAGAGAAGTGCTCCACCCACAACAGGGAGCACATCTAATTTTTAGCTCGGTCCTTGATCTCTCACACTGGAATGCCCTATATTATCAATACAATAACCAAACTACCTATTCATCTTTATCAATATGCGATAAGCCTGGACGGCTGCAAGGCTTGCTCCCAACCATAGCAAGCAAAATCGTCTAGCAAAACAGCAAACCGTCTAATGGAACGTTGAACTGTCTAATGGAAAACCAAACCGATTAACGGGTTGGGGGCAGGGGCGTGGGGGAGGTTCCCTCCCTCAACCACAGCCGGATCCGTCGGACGGGTGGCCAACGAACCCCATACCAACGAGCCCACGGCCTGCAAGGGGGCAGTGACGGCCATCTGGTCGTAGCCCTTACCCTGCCCTGCGCGCTCTGGATCATTGCGAAAATTGCTAAAAAGGTTGCTTCAGCTCGTTCCAGATCGTTTTGAACGGGTAAAGAGAGTTGATTGAGAAGCATCTGGGAAAGCATTGGGAATTGTGTTTGTAATATAATAACGTCTTGTTATATCATAACAGAAGGGATTTTACGGATTGTAACGCTCGCAGCTAAGCCACCTTGGGTGGCAAAATATGCTGAAAAAAGCTTTACAACCGATGAGTTGCTTCCTCGTCGCCTCACATGGACTGCCTCGTGTTTAAGACCCAAGAGGCGCTCTGTTGCATAGAGCGCCCACCCTATAGATGTGTATGGGGTTTTTAAGCCCGTTCAGCGGGTTGGGGACAGGGGCGTGGGGTTCGATGGGATGGGGGTTCGATGGCCACCCGTGCATCCCTTGCACCCCTTTAGGGGTGCATGGGATCCATCGAGGGGGCAGGGGCGTGGGGTTCGATGGCCACCCCCGGCCGTGCATCCCGAAGGGATGCAAGAGGGGGGAGGTTCCCTCCCCCAACCACAACCCCCTCTTGCATCCCTTGCACCCGATGGCCACCCCCGGCCATCGAGGGGGGAGGTTCCCTCCCCCAACCCCCCCCCCAACCACAGCCGAACCCGTCCGACAGAACGCCGAACAGCTGTAAGGCCTGTGAGGCCTCTGAGGTTTGTGAGTGCTTAAAGCGCCCTTATCAGAATAAGAATAAAGAAAACATTATGGCTGTTCCTAAGAAACGAACCTCGAAATCAAGACGAAATACTCGAAGAACTCTTTGGAAGAAAAAAGCTTCCGCTCAAACAAAGAGATCATTCTCATTAGCAGCATCAATCTTAAAGAAGCGCCTTAAACAGAAGGAACGGATAGAACCAAGCCCTACCGAGACATAAAACGAATCTGCTAGGGAGTTGAACGCGTGACCAGAAGGAGGGATAGAGGGCTGCCATATTTCCGACATCCCGTAGAAGCTTTGGGTCTGTGGGGTTGCCTGCCTCAATCTGGCAGGCCTACAAACCTCTATGAGGTTTACCTCCCTGTTCGTGGGATAGGTGTCTCGATAATCTGTGCTGAGTAAGCGAGCGCGAGTCTGCTCACCGCTTACCGGAATAGATTAGGCATTAACTGAGTCAATAACCCCCCAAACGAATTAGGCAATAGTTGTCTAGGCGTGGCAATGGGTGTTGTGCTCACCCCAGAAGAACTCGTCCGACCTTGGCCCTGGCCTCCCAGGCCTCCCAGGCCTGGGAGGCCAGGGCCAAGGTCGGGGCTGTGGGTTGGGGGAGGGTACCTCCCCCATCCCATCGAGTTTCTAACCCAGCCAGACGGGTTCGCCTGTGGGGCGGCTTGAAGCCTAAATTTGTAACGCCTGTGATTCTGTTCCTGAAAAAATCCTTGATCTATGAAGAAACTCCTCTTAACCTTTCGCAACAAAGTGCAAGCTACAAAGATATCGTGGAGTTGGGTTATCACCTCTTTCTATCTCCTCTTCATGTTGATCCTCCCTATCTGGTCACTCTTGAGTACAGCAAGCAAGGCCTTATTTGCTGACTTTTGGCAGCTAGCCACCGAACCCGTGGCGGTATCAGCATACCTAGTGACTCTCACAATGGCCTCGTTAGCGGCGTTGTTCAATGGCGTTTTCGGATTTATATTGGCTTGGGTTCTTGTGCGATATAATTTTCCTGGGAAGAAGCTTTTAGATGCGGCGGTAGATTTGCCCTTTGCCCTTCCCACGTCAGTAGCTGGTCTGACATTGGCAACCGTCTATAGCCCACAGGGATGGATCGGGCAAGCGTTGACAAAAGTTGGCGTTCAGGTCCTTTTCACACGGCTAGGAGTGGCAGTGGCAATGGTTTTTGTTTCCTTCCCCTTTGTTGTGCGAACATTGCAACCAGTCTTACAAGACATGGAAGTTGAATTAGAAGAAGTTGCATGGTCTCTTGGTGCTTCACCATGGAAAACTTTCCATCGAGTCTTGTTTCCTTCACTTCTTCCCGCCTTGATCACAGGCGTCACATTGGCATTTTCAAGAGCAATCGGGGAATACGGTTCAATCGTTATTGTTTCATCAAACATGCCACTCAAGGACTTGATTGCTTCAGTATTAATATTTCAAAATTTGGAACAATATGAATACACTGGGGCAACAGTGATAGGGACGGTGGTGTTGCTTATATCCTTAGTTCTGCTTTTTGGTGTCAATGCAATACAGTCTATGCACCGCAATCGATGAGATTTCACCGGTGAGTGGGGGAGGAACCCCCAAGGCCTTACGGCGGATGGGTCAAACGATCTCCCCCTTCGTAGGCCTGGGAGACTAGGCCTCCCAGGCCTCCCAAGGGTTCAGCGAGGGGATACACCTAAGTTCAAACAAAACCCTTAGTTTTTGGTTTCGAAAAGACTTCTTCCTATGTCACTAGTTACAGCTATTCGCGATTACATCGATTTTGTCAATTCTAATTATGACTCTATTCCGGTGGGTGCGCCTTTGTCCTCTTTGATTCTGCCTACTTTAGGCTACATTTTGGCCAGCTTGAAGTACGGAATAGTTTATCTGTTGAGTTTTCAATGGCTTCGGGATTTGGTTTATTTGCCACTCTTAGTCCCTCAACTTACAGTCTCTTTTTTAAAGGAGCATTCCTACCCCCTGGACAACCCAGCTCTAAACTTTTTTGCTTTTCTGGAAGAGCCAGCATACAAACACAGCAAGCTGTTTCTGGGTTTTTTAAACAGCTTTTTTGCCTGTTTGCCAATTTCGGCTGCTCACATCCTTAGCGCAAGGAGATTGCTCGTTCAAGGAATCCCGGCCGGAGTTGCTGCCGGTAGTGGTATCGTCGTCGGGCAGTGCTGGTTCGTTGCCTGTGTTATTTTCGGGTTGCGAGGTTTCCTCATCCCCTGGTTTTCGTTAGAACCCGTCAGCTACATCGTTGGCCTCGGCCTTCTTATTCATGTTGTCTACAAAATTACACATGAGCGAAGGATTCGTGTTATCAAATGGGCGGACAGAGGAGAGTTGGCTCAATATTTTGTTTTAAGTTTTCTATTGACGTGGTGTGAACAGAGTAGCATCTTTCAATATCTAGGGAACTTGACTGTAGGTCCTGAGCCCACAGCTTTGGACACCTTCTCTTCAAGCAACGGGGGGGGCTCCTTCCTCATTGATGGCAGTTATGTGCTCGGCTTCTTATTAGGAAGTTGTATGTTTACCGTGATCTTTGGGTGTCTGTCACTTTTATTGCGGAAGCTTTGGCTACAGTCATGGTCAACGACCGCCTCTCGTTTGACAAATCAGCTAAACAGCCTGTTCCTTGTCCTCCTCATTGCCTTTAGCTTTGCCTCGGTGCCGTACTATGGTATCGATTACCTGCTCACCAATGAATTGGGTTTCCTTCCACAAGACAAGTCATTGAATCGTACAATTGTTTATCCATCCACAACAGGAGACATCAGCCAGATCTTGGGTCGTATGTCAGATTCCAAATCCTTTGACACAGACGTGTCAACCTTTGACCGAGGCGTCTATTTGCAAGAGGACAAACCACTTCCACAATCTTTTGAAGACTTAAACTATCAGGGTGAGTATGCATGGACCAAACGAGCAAGCAAGTTCGTGAAACACCTTACGAGAACCAATACCCCTTCGGCCTGGTATAAGCTATTAGGGAACGATGGTCAAGGCTCAGCCGAGGATAAACCATCAAGCTCGAGCAAAGCTGATGCGCCAGACCAGGTCTCACGTGGGTTTGGAGTCTCTTCGAAGGGGAATGGGCAGTCGCAGCTCAGGGACAGGTCGGAGGATTTAAAAGGCAAACCTCTCGGTGTGGAGGCTCGGCGTGAGCTTGGTGGAGGAGAGAGTGGCATGATTTCTGACCTTGTTGCCTTAGAGAACGACATTGTAGCAAAGCTCGGCAATGCACCATTGGGCCAAAATGGAGCCGAGGATGACATCTCTTACATGGCGGAGACAGTTTCGGAGGACGGGGAGACAGAGAAACAATTCTTGTCTCTCTTTGACACGGGGCTTTCTCCACTCTTTATTGCAGACATGCCAGAGCCATCGGCCATTGAGAAGAATCTAAAGAAAAAGTACGCGGAGAACCCACTCTACTCCCTGCTTCTTCGCATTGACATAGACTCCTTTCTAACCCGTCAACCGGCTTCTCATTTATTGTCCCCGCTTGAGGAGAGAACACTCTTCCAGAAGCGGCAGATACTAGGGCATTATTATGACACCTTGCGGCAATACAATCAGCTCCAGAACTGGGATGAGTTCCAAACGATTTATAATGGATCAAAGAGCTTTGCTAACCGTGTATACAATCAACAGTTTAAGGGGACCCTTAAAGTTGTACGTCGCCTCTTCTCGATTACGTTGGATAGAGACAGAGACCAAGGCGAGGGTGATAGAAGGATACTTAAGTTTGATCAGCCCCTGTTTCAACAAGAGCGTGGGGGTTCGTTGGCTACTCCCGGCCATGCATCCCATGCATCCCATGCATCCCATGCACCCCCTTTAGGGGGTGCAAGGGATGCAAGGGATGCAAGAGGGGGGCAGGGTCAAGCCCTCAATCTTCATGAAGAGCTCTTCCCATTTGCAAGAAGAAACAGCGAAAGATCCCCATTCCTTGAAGGAGTGAACCCAAGGCCCCTCTATGCTGGATGGGATGAGGAATTGCGGAAACTTGTTCTTACGAATCGGGCAATGCCACGTAGCGAAGCAATGTATCAAACCGATGCACAGGTCAATCAAGGCCTTGGAGAGGATGCTTATGGCCGATTCAGTAACATGTTCGCAAGCGGTGTCTCGTTTACAGCTTGGCCTATTCCAGAACAGCTTCTGACGAAACCTAAGAGCCAGTCGGATGTGCCATACCACGTTGCCTTTGCTACTTCAGGTGGCCCTCAAAAGCAAGGGCTTGCTGAAGCACTTCAAAGCTTTTCGGAGATACAAGACCAAGGAGCGGTAGGTGGCAGCACCTGGGACATGTCTCGTTGGCCTGCTAATCTTCGGCTGATAGATGAGCGCTCCGGGGCAATGTCATGGACACGAGGAGGCTTTGTTTGGCCTGGCCATTCTCAGCTGAAGGTTTTCGGTGAAAGGTCCGGTAATAAGGCCTCACAGGTGAGGGGGGGGGAACCCCCCCAAGGCGTTCCGTCGGACGGGACGTAAAATTGCTCGCTACAGCTTTTATTTTAAACAATCGCTACGCCACATGAGGAGAACCTCTACTGGTGCATTCTGCGCGCCTCGCCTCAGTAGCCGTATTGCGCGGCTTCTAGGCATTGCCACATTGTTATTACGGATTTTTCATCACACTCACAGGCTTTACAGGCCTTAACAAGGCAGATCTTATAGGCCTTACACTACAAAAGCCTCATCCCAGGGGTAGGCCTTATAAGGGATCGGCATTTCGCTGAACGGGTTCGGTGTTTCGCCGAACGCTCTCCGTTTCCCTCGTTAGCCGTAGGCTCGATGGAATGAGGCAGTTGCTTTGCATGGGGTATCCCCCTTTATGGCCGGGCCTCACAGAGGCCATTCAGGCCTCCCAGGCCTCACAAGGGTTCGGCTGTGGGATAGGTTCCCTCCCCCAACCCCTGCCTCAGCCCGTTGGGGCAGGGGCCCCAAAGGCCATCGAGGAAAGTGTTGCAAACTAATCCTAGACATGATAAGATTAACAAAAGTATTATAAAAACAACTCATCTTCCACGCGGGTATAGCTCAGTGGTAGAGCATCTCGTTGCCAACGAGAATGTCGCGCGTTCGAATCGCGTTACCCGCTTTTTTCGGTTAGATGCCCCTACGTAGAATAAACTTTGCGTCAAAACTCCAATAGGCCGATTCAAAAACAAACAAAGACCAATTGCAAAATGCGTCTAATTCCATCGAGGAGATCTTCTCCTATATTTTCCTCATAAATAAAGGCAGGGAGGTGAAGGTTTTGATTGGCATTGCAACATCAGACCCTAAAGATTACATTAGAGTAATATCTATTTTAATTAGCTCTCAAACCAAAAACAATAACGGCAACAGTGCTAAGTTGCCATAGTTTACAGCACCCCAAAAAAAGCAGAAGCAGAAAAGTCACACGTTTAGCGAGTTAAGGGCAGGAGCCCCTACACTCGAATACCTATGAGGCCTTTGATGGCCGGATTGAGTTTTCGACGGCCCCTACAACCGAACATTTGTGAAACCGGGTGAACGAGGACGGAGTGGATGGGCTCTAAGACCAAGAACATTGCCCGGATAACTACGTCACATCAAGCTGATCGATCGGAAAGAGAGGGAGTCGAACCCTCGGTAGCCTTGCAGCTACGTCGGTTTTCAAGACCGATGCATTAAACCACTCTGCCACCTTCCCATTCAAGATGGTACCACAAAACCACTTATTTGGCAACCCATTTAAGAGAACGCTGTATTATAGGGCCCCCATTGGCCTTACCTTGTAAAGCGGTGATATATCTTTGAAACTCTTCGACAGAACGAAAGGGGCCTTTGCCCGTCCGACGAAACGCTCTAAGGCTCGACGGCTACCTGTTTATCAAAACGTCCTGGCCTCACAGGCCATTGAGGGTGCTGTGAGGCCTTGGGATTCGTTGGGATGAGGACGGGGCTCCACAACCCGTCCAGCGGTTGGGGGAGGGAACCTCCCCCAACCCATGCAAAGCAACTGCCCCCACCCCATCGACGGAGAAGGGGTGGGGGTAGAGTCCTCCCACACTGCCCGTCTGATAAATTAACTCACTTCTGTGAGCCCCCTAAGACCTGTGAAGCCAATTGTTAGCATTGGTCAGATTTGTGTAGCACATAGGCCCAACCGGACTCGAACCGATGACAGCCTGTTTGTAAGACAGGAACTCTACCAACTGAGTTATAGGCCTTCTTGTTCTGCTTTAGTTAATTTTAAATTTTCTTATTTGTCAATATAAGTTTAGCGCATCTTTGAACTTTTAGTCAAGCTAAATTCCTCTTTTTGGGCCACTCAGCTTTAGCAATTGACAGCCATAATATGCAAGAGTAGAGAGCCCGAGGCTGCATTGTGCATTTCCTCCCAACTCCCTAACTAGGCGACCGTCAAGAACCCCTTGATGCTCCGATTAAGGCCGTTTTTCCTCGATGGCCTGGGGGTGGCCCATGAACCCCACGGCCCCCACAACCCGTCTGACGGAACGACTTGGGGGTTTCTCCCCCCCCCCTCATCTGTGAGGCCTCGTTGACTGCTCCTCTCGAGCGTATCAACAGTTGGGCGCTCTGCGCAAGCATTTAAAGATCATGAGCAACGATTTGTGAAGTAGAATAATTGTTTTCAGTAAGTTGCGAAATCCTCAAAATTGAGCAAAATACTACCATACATCGGTCAATCTGTCATACATAAAACTGATTAAACTTAAAGGAATGGTCTTATCTAATCTCGAAATTCTTTTCTCGGCCTCTTCAGACATCAACCATGCTGCTCCCGATATGATCGGGAACTGCCTATTTGATGTCGCGGAGGTCTCTGTAGGTCAACATTTCTATTGGCAACTTGGTGATTACCAGGTTCATGGGCAAGTCCTGCTAACCTCGTGGGTTGTTTTCGGAATTATAGCAACCTTGTCGATCTTAGCGAACTCAAAACTCAAGGTTGAGACACCGGAAGGATTACAAAACCTTACCGAGTACATCACTGAATTCATTCGTGATTTGGCAAAGACCCAAATTGGAGAGGAAGAATATCTTACATGGGTTCCCTTCCTTGGAACTATTTTCCTCTTCATCTTTGTTTCTAATTGGTCCGGCGCGCTCTTTCCTTGGCGGCTAATTGAGCTGCCAAACGGCGAATTGGCAGCCCCAACAAATGATATTAACACCACCGTTGCGCTGGCGCTGTTGACCTCGATTGCTTATTTCTACGCAGGCCTGCGGAAGAAAGGAATCGCCTATTTTAAGCGGTACGTGCAACCAGCTGCCTTCTTGTTGCCTATTAACATATTAGAGGATTTTACAAAGCCACTCTCCTTAAGCTTCCGTCTCTTCGGTAACATCTTGGCCGATGAGTTGGTAGTAGGTGTTTTAATTGCCTTAGTGCCGTTAGTTGTACCAATCCCATTGATGCTGTTAGGGCTCTTTACGAGTGCGATTCAAGCACTAGTGTTTGCGACCTTGGCCGGTGCTTACATTGGTGAATCTCTTGAAGGGCATTAACGGAAAAGGCTTTAACTTTATGGTGCTTCGGCTTACTTAGCTTACAGATTGAAACCGCGATAACTGTCCGTTAGCAGGGAAACTTGCATAAGTTTAAAGCTGGTATGCCCCTAAATCGGATAAGTAGGTAACCCGCTCTTAGTCTTTTTCCCACTATCTTGCCCACGTCTGATACAATTTTTAGAACTATCGTTATTCGGTTAGCTTATAGGGGATTCCTTGGCCACTCTGCAGCGAAATGCAGAACTCGTTCGGCTGGATTCGGGGGAGGGGCGTGGGGTTCGATGGGATGGGGGTTCGATGGCCACCCCCGGCCATCGAGGGGGCAGGGGCGTGGGGTTCGATGGCCACCCCCGGCCGTGCATCCCGAAGGGATGCAAGAGGGGGGAGGTAACCTCCCCCAACGAAAGCCGAACACCTATAAAGCTAGATCATCAAGCAGACTGTGGGGCTCCGTCTCCATCCCAACGAACCACCGATCCACGGGGGGCATAAGTTCAGCGAAAATGCGATGCCAATTCCGAGAATCACGTCGTTGCTAATTTTAAGATCTTAGCCCTTCTTGTCGTATTAGAAGCCTGGTACGAACTATTCAAACCTTGTTTGTTTTGCTCCTTAACTCCTCAGCTGTAATTGACATATTCGCATATGGGAAGAGTGCCCCTTCGACGGCCTAGGTTCACAAGTGTTTGTCGTTCTGTCGGACGGGTTGTGGTTGGAGGAGGGGACCTCCCCCATCCCCTGCCCCCATCCCAACGAACCCCCCTCATCTGCAGCGAGTATTTACCGATCAATTTAAGGATAGGGATAAATTGAGGTGATTTGAGCGCTCTGGATAGAACCAGGCAAGAAATGGTCGTGTCTTGCCGACCCTGCGGAGGAAGCAAAGGAAGGCCACCAAGCGTAAAGGGTAATCTTAGCAAGCGTTGAAAAAGCCTAGTTAATCCCCCAATGAAAAATCTGTTTATTAGGCAGCCAGTCCCTTTCTTCGTACTCTATAGAATAGAGCATCGATGTAACAGAGTTCTAACTTAAGTCCTGGTAAGTGGTTATTGATGCAGACGAGGAGCTGGGGCCACAGATGGGTTCTTTAGGCGAAGTCGATAAAGTTACTTCAGCGGCTCATAAAACACAGGAGGCTATGCAACCACTCATCGGCAGCTAAAGCTAACTTCAGTTGCGGCCCGTTGGGCGAGCTGACATACAACCTAGCTGCATAAAATGGGTTCGGGGCCACCCATTCAGCGAGTTAGGGGGGGGGTTGCTTTATGGAGAAGGTTACGCACGAAAGGTTCTTTCCACTCTTGAAAGATTAGGGTGTTTGGCAGGTTTTTGTTTCCAACCTATTTTTTGGTATTATATTCTTGATAATTAAATTAAAGAAAACTATTATGAACCCACTTGTTGCTGCTGCATCTGTTATTGCTGCTGGATTAGCTGTAGGTCTTGCTGCTATTGGCCCTGGAATGGGACAAGGCACAGCCGCTGGATATGCTGTAGAAGGAATTGCGCGCCAACCGGAGGCAGAAGGTAAGATTCGTGGTGCTCTATTGTTGAGCTTTGCTTTTATGGAATCGTTGACTATTTATGGCTTAGTTGTTGCATTGGCCTTGCTCTTTGCGAACCCTTTTGCGTCGTAACGCACAGGAAAACCAACTAAGGTTGCACAAGCTCTTACCCCCGTCTTAGGGTGGCACAATAGGTTAGGACAGCACCTTCTCAAGCACCGGCTCTTAAGTGGGGGCTTGAGAACCATTGATCTAGCGCAAAACCAAAGTATCCAATGAACCCCGTTGGCCCTTTCACTGGTCGGGACCTGGTCGGGCTTTATCAGGCCAGATAACTTTTTTTAACTGGCCTGATAAGGCCTTACATGCCTCAGAGGTGTTCAGCGAAACACTGAACAGGTCGCAGGTGGAGGTGGAGGTGATAATTTGGTGATATTGCGTTTTATACTAATGTTGGGCCATCTACACTGGGCATCATTGCACAGCAATGCAAGGGCTTTCCACGCATTGCTTAGCAATGCAAGGGCTTTCCATGTATTGCCCCGGCAATGCGAGGAAGGGCTTTCCTATCCATGTTGTTGAGTACGCGGCTGAGTCAATTCGTAATTGGTAGATCTCTAGGCATCGGAGGCTTTTATGCAAGTGCAAGATCTTGTTTTTTTGATGGCATTACCTGAGCAACCAGAGGTTGTGCATGAAGGGTTTGGCTTCAATGGAAACATATTAGAAACAAATATTGTAAATTTATCGGTGGTAATAGGCATCGTTGTCTCTTTTGGGGGCGATGCTCTCCGCTCTCTGTTAGAGAATCGTCGACAGACAGTTTTAGCAACTCTCGAGCAGGCAAACGAGAGAGCTCGAGAGGCAAAACAGCGATTGGAAGAAGCTGCGTCGCAACTAGAGTTTGCTGAGAAGAAGGCAGCGGAAATCCGTCAACAAGGGGGTGCGGCGGCCGAGAAGGAGAAGAGCGACTTATTAGCCCAAGCTGAGCAAGACATAACCCGGTTAGAAAGCACAAAGGAAGAGACACTGGCTCTTCAGCAACAAAAAGCTGTTGCGCAGGTGTCCCAGCAAGTAGTAGCTTTGGCCTTGAATCGGGTACGGGACAAACTAACGAGTCGATTGGACGCTACTTTCCACCAATCTGTAAACAGTTTCAACATCGTTCTCTTTACAAATTACAAACCGGTCTAACCGTTCAGCGCTTGGGGGAGGGAACCTCCCCCACAGCCGAACCCGTTCAACAAAACGCTGAACTTGTTCAGCAAAACGACGAACCCGTTCGACGGAACGCCTTGGGGGGGTTCCCCCCCCCCCTCACCTGTGAGGCCTTGTAGGGCCTGGGAGGCTTATAAAGTCAATTCCAGTAGTGATTTAAAAGATTTGGAGTCTGCGAATGGTTAAAATAAGACCAGACGAAATAAGTAGTATTATTCGTCAACAAATTGAGCAATACAATTTAGAAGTTAAGGTAGTAAACGTTGGTACGGTTTTTCAAGTAGGAGACGGGATTGCACGAATCTACGGTCTAGAGAAGGTGATGGCTGGGGAGCTCCTCGAATTTGAGGATGGAACTGTTGGCATCGCGCTCAACCTTGAGTCGAAAAACGTTGGGGCCGTGCTCATGGGTGAGGGCCTAACCGTGCAAGAAGGTACTTCAGTACGAGGAACCGGCAAGATTGCACAGATTCCCGTAGGTGAAGGATACCTGGGCCGAGTTGTTAACTCATTAGCCCGCCCGATCGACGGAAAAGGAGAGATCCCATCTTCTGAAACTCGGTTGATCGAATCTGGTGCACCAGGCATCATCTCTCGTCGCTCTGTTTATGAGCCATTGCAAACTGGCCTTCTAGCAGTCGACGCTATGATTCCAATTGGCCGTGGGCAGCGTGAACTTATCATTGGAGACCGCCAAACCGGTAAGACTGCCGTAGCTGTAGACACCATTCTAAACCAAAAAGGGAAGGGAGTTGTGTGTGTCTATGTAGCCATTGGTCAGCGAGCTTCCTCTATTGCTCAAGTATTGAACACCCTTCAAGAGCGAGGAGCGATGGAATACACGGTTATTGTAGCCGCGCCAGCTGACTCGCCAGCGACTCTGCAGTATCTTGCCCCGTACACCGGTGCAGCTATTGCTGAATACTTCATGTATAATGGGCGCCACACCCTTGCTATTTACGATGACTTGTCGAAACAGGCTCAAGCCTATCGCGAGATGTCACTATTGTTACGCCGTCCTCCCGGTCGTGAGGCATACCCAGGTGATGTATTCTACTTACACTCCCGTCTTTTGGAACGAGCAGCAAAACTTAGTGACAAATTAGGTGGTGGAAGCATGACGGCATTGCCGATCGTAGAAACACAAGAAGGGGACGTTTCTGCTTACATCCCAACAAATGTTATCTCGATCACCGATGGGCAAATCTTTTTATCAGGTGATATCTTCAATGCTGGTGTGCGCCCAGCAATCAACGTAGGGATTTCAGTTTCTCGGGTTGGATCTGCAGCTCAACCGAAGGCCATGAAGAAGGTAGCGGGTAAGCTGAAACTAGAATTAGCCCAGTTTGCAGAGTTGGAAGCATTTGCGCAGTTTGCCTCTGATTTGGACCAAGCTACGCAGAATCAACTTGCTAGGGGTCAGCGCTTGCGTGAACTTTTGAAACAAGCGCAAGCTTCCCCACTTTCAGTGGAAGATCAGGTCGCTAGCATCTATGCTGGAACAAACGGCTATCTCGACAAGTTTCAAGTGGAGCAGGTGCGACCTTTCCTTATAGGGTTACGCCAATTCTTAGCAGCCAGAAAGGCAGAGTATGGGGAGATTATCCGCTCGACTAACACCTTTGATGACAAAGCTGAGAAGTTGCTCGTAGAAGCCATTAAGGAGTATTCAGAAGAGTTTTTGGCTAGTGCCAAGTAGCTTCACATAAGCCCGATAGTCTCACAAAGCCGCTGATGCCTGTGGAAACGGTCTCCCGCAGCGGATGCATTGTAAAGAAATCCGCGCTTTTCGAGACCCCCACCCGGCCCACTCTTGCATCCCATGCACCCCTAAAGGGGTGCAAGGGATGCACGGCTATTAATGGCCCAAGTGCTTCTAACCCCTATCATAACACGGTGGGCAGCAAGCGAAGCGCTGCCCCCTCGAAGGCCGGGCCTCACCGAGGCCTCCTAAGCCTCCCAGGCGTCACAGGGGTTCGACGTTTCGCTGAATGGGTTTAGCGTTTCGGTGAAGGACTGTGGGGCTTGGGCATGGGATGGGGGAGGGTACCCTCCCCCATCCTATGTAAAGCAACTCCCCTATCCCAACGAATCCCTGTGCTAAGGTATTCGGTGGCGATGGGAGAACCGATGACATTTGTTTGAAAGTTTTTTCTCGTCGTCAGCTACTTAGTGCCGTTGATGAAGGCAGCAAGCTGGTGTGATCCCTTTGATCCTGGGGTGATGTGATTTATCTGTAACTACTGAGACGAACAGGCAGGACACAAAGCCGCTATTATTTAGCCCTTGTGACGGAATGGTAGACGTGCCGCGTTGAGGTCGCGGTGTTTAGCGACGTATCGGTTCAAGTCCGATCAAGGGCAAGATTGTATTAATTAAGACATGCCTGCAGGCAATGCAGAGCCTGTGAACCAAGTTCAGTTTAGCAACTCCGTCCCAATTCGCTGAACCGGTTGTGGTTGGGGGAGGGTACCCACCCCCATCTCCTGCCCCCAAGGCCCCACAGCCGAATTCGTTCAGCGAAGCGACAAACCCGTCCAGCGGAACACCGCACACCTGTAAGGCCTGAAAAGCCTGTAAGACCTGCGAGAAGGCTGTAAAACCTATGAAGCCTATGAGAGAGCTTAAGCGACTCATCCTGTTATAATCATGTAGGGACTGCAATGCATAATCTACTTATGGAGCAAATCCCTTAGGCATTAGCTAGGTTGATGCGCATACGATATTTAAGTTTATGAAAAGAGGGCCGATTGGCAGCTTGCCAAATGCAATTGGTCTCCTTTTCCTAGTAATTGCTTTGGCATATTGTGTGCTGAAGGGTATAATATATGTTAAAAAGGATTCTAACGTGAGATTAGCTTCCCAATGCCATCTTGGTCGGGTTATCCTGCTTTCTGTGTCGAATTAGCGGTGCCCAATGAGCAAAAACGTTAGAAGCTGGCTTTGCAAGAGTCTTCCTCACCTCACTTCAACAGCTGCTCTTCTTCATCCTCTGGTCAATCCGTTTTGCGTGAAATCAGTAGCAAATTGAGAATTTATTCAGTTGTTGAATACAATGAGCTCCATGCCTATTACGTACGGTTGTTAGGTAGAAGAACATTGCGTGAAGAGGATTATAAAACTTCATAGAGAATAGATTTGTAATTTATGGCTTTCTTACTAGCAAAATTGCCTGAAGCGTACGCACCTTTTGATCCTATTGTAGACGTATTGCCAATTATCCCTGTACTCTTTTTGCTTCTAGCTTTTGTTTGGCAAGCATCTGTCAGCTTTAGATAACTAAGTAGTCTAACTCGTCCGACGGAACGCCTTGGGGGGGTTCCCCCCCTCACCTGTGAGGCTTCGTTAGCCTGGCCCTATAGGCCTTATAGGGATTTGGCGTTTAACTAAACGCGTTCGACGCAGCGCTGAATAATAGGTGCTTCATTGAAGCAAATGGTCGGTGTCTCTGTGTTGTACGGGTGTTAAACTCCTTTCAACCGTCTTTCTAGCTAACCGAGAGAAGATATGCCTTGTTTCCTCGATGGCCGCCCGTGCATACCTTCGGTATGCACGGGCGGCCATCGAGGAAACAACAGGGACATGCATCGGCAATTGCTTGAATACCTTTGTTCCAAATAATCAGTAACACTGCCCTTCCATTTAGAAAAACCACAAATTATGCCACTGTCTGACAGTCAAATATTTATAGCACTCTTTATTGCTTTGCTTACTGGCATCTTGGCAGTTCGCCTGGGCCTTGAGCTCTATAGCTAATCGCTCAAGTTCCAGCATCTTCGCAAATAGGGATTGTGCGCAATTCAGCTGATTGTCATTTAGCCCCTCCTCGCTGGCCGGGGGTGGCCAACGAACCCCAAGAAGTAAAGGCAAACTGTTCACCGAAACGCCGAACCCGTCCGACGGAACGCCTTGGGGGGTTCCCCCCCCCCTCACCTGTGAGGCCTGTGAGGCCTTGGGATATGGACTCCGCAGATGGAGCCTTCAGTTCAAGGGTCGTGGGGCATGGGGGAGGTCCCCTCCCCCAGCTACGTCACAATCCGCATATATTTGGCCCCTTCCTATGTTATGTGTAGACACGTTGCTTACTGCACTCTTTCCCCGCTACCATAGAGAGGGCTTTTTTCCCCTCTCTTTTAGTTGTTAACAAAGTAACACTATGAATCTTGAAATCGTTTTCCAATTAGCGGCAATCCTTTTTGTTTTTGCTGCAGGTCCGCTTGTTATTATCTTGCTAGCTAGCCGCAGTGGCAATCTTTAAGTGCCGGTCCCCCTACAGCGGGGTGCCCTCCCTTCTTTAAACAAGTCAAGGTTAGGGTAAGCGCTCCATCATCTACAGGTGGTGGAGCGCTTACCTCAGCTCTACAAATCCTAAGTACCTATTGCTTGCCCGCCTAGGCCGAAGTTTTTTATAGATCATAAGAAAACACTCAATGGTAGCTGCTTAGTTTATAAACTATTTAATTTAATATAAAAAAGAAAATTTAAAACGCAGGTGGCAAGGGGTTATATATTACAGCAGCAAGGTATTTAAAACAAACAGTCTTCTTTGCAATCCTTGAGGGGTTTGCTCGGGAGCGATTCAATCTTGTGGAACTGGAAACAGCTAATCGTCTTACGGCATATCTACTCTTAAAATATTAAGAGTCTAAATTGTCGAGCAAGAGTTTTCCAAGTTGTTCCAGCAAATTCGTTATTAAATCCTTACTATGACTGCTATTTTAGAAAGACGTGAAAGCGCTAGCCTATGGGCTCGCTTCTGTGAATGGGTTACAAGCACTGAAAACCGCCTTTACATCGGTTGGTTTGGTGTTCTAATGATCCCTACTCTTTTGACTGCAACTTCTGTATTCATCATTGCATTTGTTGCTGCTCCTCCTGTAGACATTAACTAAAATCGGTGTCCCTCATCCGCAAGGATGTTGACGAAACTGGGTGAATTGCTGGAATCCGAAAGGCGATCAGCAGCCAAGCCAAGAATGGGTGAGGCCCTTTTGTTGGCCAGATGTGGCCATCGAAACCCCTTTCTCTTCTATCACGTGCATCCTGAAGGAATGCAAGTGATGAATTAGAAATAGGATCGGTTCTCAAGTTCTTGGAAGGTTCAGAGACTAGAAAGTGAGTCCCAACAATAATCTTTCACAAGCGCCCAGCCCCTTCTTAAGGATATCTTTACCAAAAAGAAATCCTACAGCAGTCTAAGAAGGGTGAAGATATAGTCCACACATTTATAGGTTTTTATGACACTTTCCCTCACCGAGATTGAAATAGCTTGGCTTGCCGGCTTAATCGAAGGGGAAGGAAGCTTTGGCTTAGATGCTCGTTCAGCGACACAATACAAGATTTCTAGGGCACCCCCCTCTCCTTACATGAGAATTTCAATGATCGACGAAGACGTCATCGAGCGCGTAGGCAAGCTTGTCAACAAAAAGTGTTTCTCTCCTACACGTCGCACAGTAACAGAGAAACAAGTCTACGCTGTTCACGTTGGTGATCGAGCAACCCTCAGCTGGCTTTTGCCCCGGCTCTTTCCATATTTCGGGAAACGTCGTCAAGAAGCTGTTCAGGAATGTCTTGATGCATTAGCTGACTGGGAGGTGTGGTACGCTGCTGGAAAACGTGGAGAGATGGCAAAGCAAGGCGTGTTGTCAAAAAAATTTATGGCATCTAAGTCGTTTGATATGATGTCACCTGATGTCTTTGAAAACATTCCGGATGTCCTTGAAGACATTCCAGATGTTCTTGAAAACATTCTGTAAATGTCCCGCGACGGTATCCGTGAGCCAGTATCTGGTTCTCTACTTTACGGCAACAACATCATCTCTGGTGCAGTTGTTCCTACTTCAAACGCGATCGGTTTGCATTTTGGATAAAGGTGCCTTACACTGGCAACAGTGTTTGCAAACTGGGTGAATTGCTGGAACCCTAAATCAACTATCTCATTTAACAATTTCAACCAACTATCTTACACCCCTGGCTCGGATGGAAAAAACTCCTCTTTGACGTGTTTACAATGCAACGTGCAACGTCTCAAGAGTCTAACTAGCCAACTACTGCCAACAACTTGCCAATCGATATGCAATTATGGAGAGAGATGTCTATGCGACGGCTAGGCAGTTTCGCTTTGCAATCTACTAGCTCACAATTAGGTAACGACGATATAAATGAAATCGTCGAAGAGCTAGAACTAAAGAACGAAAGCTCTCTCAATCAGACGCTCGTTAATGGCGAGCTGGTGCCCTCTTTTAGAACTCTCAAGATACCAGATTCGTTAGATAATGCGTATATTGCTATCAATGAAGACCAGGCGAAGCAATTCTATGAAGAATTTCTAGCCTACCTCCAAACAAAAGAGTATCTCTCATCTGTGCCGCTAGAAAACATCACATCTTGCCGAAACATGCGGGAGGTGGAGACGAGTCTAGCAACTTGATAAGCATAACACCTGAGGATCATGTAGCGATTCACATGTATCGATATCAAGCCTTTGGAGATAAAGGTGATGAGCTTGCTTATCTTATGCGGTTGAACGACTCGAATGAAAGGGCACAGCTCCGCGCTAAAGCCGCTATTCTAGCGAACAGGCAGCGAGGAAATGGTTTTTTTAACTCAGATTGGCAACGTGTTCAAGGCGCAAAAGGTGGGAAGGTTGGTGGGAGTATGAACACACCCGAGCAACAAAAGGCACGTTCTACAGTTGGCAAGACGTATGGCCGGACAACAGGTTTAGGCAATCAATCAAGCCACCTAAAAGAGGTACTTCGGTACAAATTGCATTGGATCTATGAGAATGGAGAAAGATTCGTTACCAGTCCGGCTGATAGTGGGAAAGAGATCATAGATCAACTCCACGAGTTGCAACCTGGTTCTATAAAGAACTCATTCACATTCTACAAGGTTTTTCACGGCGAGCGGAAAGGGATGTATGGTTGGACGTTAGAGAAAATGGAAATAGTTGACATGGCAATCAGCAGCGAAGCCGGGGAGGGCAAAGGTTCCCCGGAACGTTCAGAGACTAGTGCGTGAGTCCCAACAATAAGCGCACATTAGCGCCCAGCAACCTGTTTAAACAGGTTGATGATATAGTCCACCCCACGCAGAAATGCGTGGATAAGGTGTTTTACCCTATTTGGGAAGCTGCTTCACTAGACGAATGGCTTTACAACGGCGGCCCTTACCAGCTGATCGTTTGCCACTTCTTCCTAGGCATCTGCTGCTACATGGGTCGTGAGTGGGAACTTTCTTTCCGTTAACTTCTAGGCGGCTATGGCTTTAAGAGCCATAGAAAATCGGGTGAATTGCTGGAACCCTGTCGTTTTGTACTAACAAGCAGCTCTAGCGGCTCGTTAAGTAGGCAAAAGATGTG